TAATAAATTAAAATTCACTTGAGTCTTCTCACCGTACCATTTACATATATATATTTTTTTTCATTTTTATTTTTACACAAATTAGATATTTCTACTAATTATATTTACATATTCTTCTCTATATGAAGCGTTCTAGTAATAATAATAATCATGAGGAGGAGGAGGAGGAGGAGGAGAAGATACGTTAATTATTTTATAGTAATGGTTGAAGGTCCCTTAAGTTCTAATGAGGTACATTAATTCATGAATTATGCTACATGTACAATATTTGTTGACAATATTAGTTGGCAACATCCTATTGGCATCATCATATCCATCCATTTTAAAAAACTGTTTTCTACATCACATGTTAGGATTTTGACAACACATGATTGTCAACCATTGTTGTCAACCAATGTTGTACACTTAGATTTATTATTAAGTCATAGCACTTAGTTTTAGATTAAAGAATTACATTCAAGATAGAAAATATAAAGTGAAAAGTCTTAAAATAAAAGTTTTTTTTTCCTCTTGAATTGAATTTAACACAAATGGAAAATTTTAATGTTTTTAAAATACTAATGAATGTAACTCTCTGAATTCAAGATATATATGTTATGGTCTATTTGTTTAAGAACTATTTTGAAATTAAATATTAGGGTAATTAGTACATAACGTTCCAATCTTATGCTGTTATTTTTTTAACATTTTCACTCATATTTTCACATTTTATTGTGCAAAATGTCATTTCCATTTTCTCAATTAAAAATTGTGGAATAACAAATATACCCTTCTTTTTAAATAAAACAAAAGGAAAAAGAAAAATTAATTGCAATCATAGTCTCAATTTTTTTGAAAAGCGCAAATGAGTCTCAAATAAATTATTAAAAAAGTAATTAACACATAATGTCCAACCTTTCACTATCATTGCAAAAAAGTCCCTACCTTTTTATTTAGCATTTTCACTCTTAAATATTATATAATAATGGTTGAAGGGTCCCTTAAGTTTTATTTAAGTACATTAATTCATAGTATTTATTTAGATTCAAAAATTACGAGCAACATAGAAAATAGAATGTAAAAAGTCTTAAAATAACAGTTTTATTTTTCTCTTGAATTGAATTTAATACAAGTTGAATAAATAGCGTTTTCAAAATAGAATGAATGTAAACTATGACCAAGGGCATGATGGACAAAAGGAAAATAAAAGTGTGAAGACAAAATTAGAAACAAAAGGTATATTAATACATTTTTATTTCAAATTGTAAATCATGATGTAATAAAAGTACCTAAAAAATTATTGAAATCAATATATAGAGTTTGTATAGAGAAATATATAATTATATAAATATGATTTCTACATTGTTTCTATGAACTCTTGATGAAAAAGTCTAATGTGATTTTTATTTGAAAATAGGAGAAATTTTTTGGTGCTTAATGTCAATTCCCTCCATAAAAAAAATGAAAAAAATGAGAGAACTTTATTGATACTTGCAATACACGAGAGAGCTCGATAATACTTCACTAGTTCTCTTAGCCCCTATTTAAGCCATATTATTTTTTCATTCTCATTCTTCTACTCATTTTCAAATACACATTCTTTAATAAAATAATATTTTTCATCACATCAATAATTTTTACTTCTTTTTCAACCACATATTCCCATCACATCAGAAAAAATGCATTCTTGAAGAAAAAATGTGCATCAAACAGGAGCTTAAACTTTCATAGATTTGGACTTTACAAGTTTCAAATAGTGAGCTTGTTTTATAAACTTTGCTTTCTTGACTACCAATTCACATTTTGAGGTCATTATGCCCTTATTTGAGCCATATTTTTTCCATCAAAAATTATTTTTAAACAGTGATTTAACCTCATTTGAATCACACATTTTTAAATAAAATAATATTATACTTAAATTCAAAATTTTTCCTTAAATTTTAACCACGCATTCTTCATCATAACACTATTACAAAATGCATTTTTTTTAAAAGCCCTTACATTTTTTCAATAAAATAATATTGCACATAAATTCAAAAAGATTCCTTCTTTTTTAACCACACATTCTTCCAAAAACCTCTATTTTAAATACATGTTTTCTCAAAATTTGATTTTAATGCAACTCATACAAGGAGCTATAGCATTTTTGTTAGGGATGACAATAGGAAGGGATGATGTTGGAGCATGAATTAAAAAAATGCATTTATCATCATGTTTAAATGTTTATTTATTTTTCTAATGTTATTTTTTTATTATTGTTATTTAAATTAAAAACATAAAAGTAAAATAGAATAGAATAAAAAGATCAAACGAGGATTATGTTTTCAATTACACCTCTACCTACATTAGGCAGTTAAGCAAAATGCTACGCGAGGTAAGTACTCACCCCACTGGCATCGTCTATTCCATATGCTTTTTTGAGAAGATTTGGTCATATCTTTAGATGTCTTGCTTAAATTATTATTATTATCCGATGCGATGGACTTTTTCTAGAGGATTTTACTGTTTGCAGAGGAAAAGCCAGTTTAAAGAAGCAACCGAAATGATGTGGAAGGAAAATATTGAATGAAAAAGCTAACTATATTTTAAACTGACAAATGATAGAGTATCATGTGGCATTCTGTAAGGTATTATGTAAGTTTAGATGTACATGTAGCATTGTCTTTTGCTAGAAGCCTCACGTCAATTTGCACAAATGGAGTACTGCACAAAGTGATTGATGTGATAGCTCTACAACGACTACTTTCAAATGTCAAGCATATAAATACTCAGTCATATCTCGTTAAAAGGTAAGTATAACTGAAGTGTATGACTTAAAAGCATAATCTAAAATTCAACACCCATATTTTTCGTTCGTGGTAATTGTCTCACACTTAATATTCTATATAATCCGATTTGAACATCGGAGTGCAGATGATCACTGTATCTCATCGGAGCAACAATCTATGTAATCTAACTTAATTGTCTAAATGTGAAAGTAACGTAAAAATGGAGACGAGAAAAGTTGAGATATGTTGATATATAGGTATAATCGGATTTGAAGGTCAACATTTATTATTACGTGTCATTACTATTCGAGGCAGGTATTCCCCATCCGTTTGGTGGGGGGATGCTAGACGATATATTTCACACCAAAAAAACTCGTGGAGAAGTATTATTTAAAAAATGTAATTTTACATATCATCATATATAGGCAAATCGGAGTAAAATAAATTCGTATATCATGCCCCGACTGAATCTGCGTTCTTCCACTGCAAGTCTGTTAACTCATTCGTCCTTGCCACTAGCTTAACAAAAAAAATTGTGAAACAAAAAGTCAAAAGGAGGGTGAAGAATATTTAGTAGTAAAAAATTCAGATGTTGATTGGCCCAATGGCCCTGTCCTGTAGATATCAGAACAATTAATTAAGAACCCAATTTCTTAGATCCCAAGTGTGGACATGGATATGGACATGCACAAAGATAGTCAACAACTCCGGCTCCACTCCATTCATTTCGAACATCGAAAAACAAACTTTTACTACATTGTAATCCAACCGGTATCCAACTTTTACTAAAAATTATTTCATGGAACTTGGAAATTTGTTTCCATCCTCCACCATTTGCAATGTTTGATTGTCATAATTTTCTTGGCAATTCATTTTTTCTTTAAAGCTTCACACGGTTCCAATTCCTTACTTTTGTGGAAAATCAGTCCCCACCAATTTGGTGAGATTTGATTTTCCAGGTAACTTTTTTTTTTTGACAATGAAAACAAATTATATCCTTTTAATGTATAATTTTCATATAAAATAAAGTCAAACGAATACCAAAAATTCAAAATTTCAATATTTTTCATGTGAAAAAGTATACTAATCAAACACAATTAATTGACAATTCTCGGGAAAACAATTCTAGGCAATTCAATTTCTTGAAATTCATTTTCTTTCCACTCAAATTTCACTCTTACAATCACACGGATCCTTAGTGTAATATGAAGTGCACCCATGACATAAAAGTATGAATGTATAATTGATGAACTTATAATTAAGCCCTTGGTTGAGCTTCATTTTAATTAAGATTTGAAAAAAATAAATTATAGGATAGTGATTTTTTTTCTTTTAAGAATGTATCGTTAAAAAATAATAATTTTTTTTTGAATTTATATATAATATTATTTTATTAAAAATATGTAATTAAAAAGAAAAAAGATTAAAATTTTAATGGAGTTGAAACACGGGCTGAATTAGCTAGCGGGCAATGCTATACAATGTTTTAAATAGCGTAAAGCGTAGCGTCGAGGTCGAGAATCAAGAATCACAAGTTTAAAAGTGTCAATACGAAGAATAAACGTTATAATGTGTTTCGCATTTTTAATATTATTTTAATTATTTTTAAGACATTAAATATATTTTTATATAAAAAAAATAGATTTTTTTTTAAGGGGGGATAAGGCGCGCTATAGCGGGATATAGCGGTCAACAAAAAAAGTTGACCGATTTTCTACTCGAATACCCAGAAGCGGAGCGTTTTCGCCGCGTTACGCACTATAGCGACACTATTTCCCGATATTTAGAACACAAATGCTATATGTACATAATTTTTTACCTAATCTTTTACTCACACTCACAATAGAGTATGAAAACACTTACAATAGATTGTGAGGACCACTTTTTGAGAGTTTTTTTATTCATGACTTCATGTGGACTCGTGGCCAGCACGTGAGAAGATGTAATATTTTCAATAAAGAAAATTATGTACAAATAGTTTTATCCTTGACTATAATCGACAACTAGTGGCATTTTTCTCTTCCTTCCGTACACGCGCCTCCCAGTCTAGTTTGACAGCTACGTACCACCAAATTTCATTGCTAAAAATAAATTTTCTGTCCTGCAGTGTGAATCCGAAGACTACACACAATTGGCATCTTCCTTCAATTATTCATCTTCATTCCCTCCCTCAATCAATATTCATTTAAATTTCGAACTCCCTTCTCCTTCTCTTCCTCTCACCCTCTTGTGTGTGATTTGAACTGAACAAAAATGGCGAATTCAGTTGATGCAAATTCTGCTAAGTGTTTCTCCGGCGTCATACGGCGGTTGTTGTGCGGTGGTAGCCTCCCAACACACCCGTCTGAACAATTTGCTGAGTCCAAGAACTGCAAAGAAGTTGATCACCCGCTTGAAAATGATTTAAAATCTGATGAAGCCAGAGTGAAAGCTGCAGAAGCTCCAGGAGTGGTGGCCAGATTAATGGGTTTAGATTCACTGCCAGGAGATATCAAGCCAAAAGATAAAAGTTTGGCTTCTTATTTTCGAAGCAGGTCAGTGAATTCCATTGATTTTCTTGCACAGTTTGATGTTTCTAGTAAACTATCCCCGGCCAAACACAGAAGAGTAAGAACAGCAGTGTCGTTGGGTGAAGTCCCTTCTCTTGATCTCAAAGGCAAACATGATTTTAACGTGATTCTGCACTTTGAGCAAGTAGAAAATTGTAAAGATGAACCCAAATATCAAGAAAGATTGGAGGTGAAAAAGCCTGAAGCGATGAATAATATTTATCAACCAGTGAAACAGAAGAAGGTCCTCGTCAATCAAAACATAATAGAAAAACCATATCTTACGAAGAAATCTTGTAAGAAATTGGAGGATAAGCCCAAGAGAGTGCATATTAAGAAGAATGTTAGTAGAAAAATGAATGTGGACCTCAAGGAAAGAAGGCCAGCTAAATCAGAGTTTACCAAGAAGAAAAATAATGAGTACAGTGAATGCGACCCAAGAAATTCCCGTTCTTTCTCAGTTTTTTATGACATTCAAGATTATCAGATCCACCCAGAAGCCACTCCATCGGGTATGTTCTGCGAAATAGATTAACATATGATAATTCCTAGCAATGCTTATTCTTCATTGGTTTGTTTAGTTTGCTAGGTTAAATGATGAATATTCATGGTCCTCGCAGAAGTTTCGCTGGTACGTCAAGGTTCAAACAAACCCATATCTCATTGTAACTATGCAGAACTCAAGGCATCCACTGGCGAACATGATAACGACAAAACGATGAAGGAAGAGAGTTCTTACAGCATAAAATTGCTCGAAAAAATCAGTAATTTGACAGCAGATGATCTAGAGAAGTCTTGTTGGGTACCCAATCAAGTGTTAAAGTTTGAAGATTTTGAAGAGATATGTTTCCATTATGGGCAACAAATTTTTGAGTTATTGTTGAATCAAGTTGTTGATGAACTTGTGCTGCTTCAGCTTCACAGGAGAAAGGGATTATTTTCCCATGCATGTTAAACAGAGATTTGCTGGTGCACACTGCATAAACTATATAAATAATAACTTCTGAAAATTGAGTAGGTGCAAAAGATAAAGTTTCTGATCAATGTTTTGGCTGATTTTATAGTTGCTCATGTACTTTCTATTAGAGTTCTACATTGGCTAGTGACATTTACACAATTCACTTAAGAATGTGAAAGCAATCCTCGCCTAACAAGCCGGTTTTGTTAGGTTGAGTTAGACTCAATATCCTTTGTAATATAGTATTACAGCAGGCTCAGTTTTGCAATGTTGGATGTGCCCAATATCGATTTGTTCACAGTTGTTTGGCATGGTCCACGCTATGCGTTAGGGGGCGTATAAGAGTTTCACATTGATTGGTGATATTTACACGATCTACTTAATAAGGTGAGGACAATCATCCCCTAACAAGTGGATTTTATTAGATTGAGTTAGGCTCAATATCCTTTCTAATATTTTCAACACCATAATTGCACGTATAAATGCTCAAGCCAGGCGAGCATCGTATAAATGCTCTCAAACATGTATAATGTAATGAAGGTTCAACTGGTATTTATCCTTGTATTTTGATTTGATAGATTGAAGGCTTTCAGAGTTTGTCTCGAGGGAGATAGAGGAAGAGGGAAAAGACCAATTTTTCAACCTAGGCCTTGGATGGTCAAAGTAGAAAGATGTTGCTTGATAATTGTATATTAAGAGTATGTTTGGTTTTTATTTTTTTAAAACTCATTTTAAACCATATGTTACGTCTCACCATCGAGTCTTCAGTCAAAGTGATACGTCGTAGTTCAGGTGAAAAGGAAAGTCAACAAAGATCCAATTGCTCAAAAGTAAAATAGTCAAACAAAATATGAAGCTCATGTTCTGAAGCACTGCCAATGGTTGAAACTCTTGTACCGAAACACTACCTGAATGGCTGGAGCTCCTGTGCCGAAGCACTAGCCGAATGGCTGGAGCTCCTAAGCCGAAGCACTGCAGAAAAAATCAAAGAAGAATCGAAGCTCTTCACCCAGAAGACAGCCAATACGAAGCTTTTTTTCTTCCTAAGCCTTTAATTCATCCAAGTTGAAGTTGTCTCTTACAAGATTTGTAGACAATTTTTAGAAATGATTGATGTAACATTTGTAATAAAGAATATCAAGTGTGTCGCTTAATGTATATGCTGGCCGACTCATTGTCAATTTATTTATTGTATGATGGACTTGGTGATGTGTGGCTTTATTGAAGGAGATGAGGTCACGTGGTTCTAACTCAACGGACACCATGGCAGCCAAAACACTATAAATAAGTAGTCTTTGTAAATTGTAGGGGCTTTTGGAGGATGGTCTTTTGGAACATTAATTCTAATAGACAAGAAAAGACACAAAACAAATACTCTCAAGAAACCTTCTTGCTTGTTTTATGTTTGTTAGTGTGATCTTAGGTTATTTACACTTTGTCGTTGATTATTTATTAGCGCTATCTTCTTAGTCACTACTGTAAGTGTTCGAACACTTTTGTCTCGTGACATAAAGTATCTCCCGCATTCAAAGTGCTACCCTTCTCTATCCGGTTCTCCGGTCAAAATGCGTTGAAACTTGCTTGATTTGGCGTAATTGGGTCCGACATCTGCTGTTCATGTTAACGTCACATTTTTCTGGGTCAACACAACACATTCTCCTATAAAAGAGTTTTATACGTTAATCAAATTTTTTTTACTTTTTAATTGAAATTTGTCGATGTTTTTCCTCTTGTTGTATATAATGGAATACACATTATCAAGACTTAAGAAATGCTTGATTAGAAGAATTTGAGCCTTGAGAGCTTTGTAGGTGTCATTTAAACCCAAAAGAAATTTCATTACCTAGTCTATGTCTTGGTTATTCCCTGTTGTCTTCAATCTTCCACATGTACGATTAGGAATTAACTCAAAATTCATTCAGCAGAGTTTTTAATTTAGAGTAGTATATACTCATAGAGTCTTGGTTTTGCATCAACATTGCAATATATTGCTTTACTTCATAGATCCTATGAGCATTTTGCTGGGCAAGTCGTTGTTCAAGTTCCTTCCATAGTGGATGAGCAGTCTCGACGTAAAGAGTGCTATTCTTGATGTCGAAGGACATGCTGTGACCAAGGGATGACCATGTCATTGCAACGATGCCAATGGTCCATCAATATGCTGTCGACCTCAGGTAGCTCACGCTCCCATCGACAAATCCTAGGTTGTTTTTGATACGAAGAGCCCTTTTCATTGGGCATGCCCAAGAATAATAGTTGCTTGAATCAAGCATTTGGGTGACAAGCAGAGCTCCAATGCTATCATTGGAACCAATAAAATATGGGCTATTTGGTTGAGATGGTCACGAGTGTTGGGATTTGGATTCGTGGGAGGAGGAGAATTTGAGTTTTGATCAATATTTCCACTAGCAGGATCAACAATGAGGCTCTGATATCATATAAGAAAAGTAAAAGAAAAGCTCAGCAATGGAACAATAGAGAAAATGGAATTGGAGAGCGATATTGAGAAAAACTATATATGCATTTCCATTAGATATCTCCTTAATCCTACTATTTATAAAGAAGGGGCTACTTAAATCTTTCAATAGATGCTGTACAAAATAAACAAAAAAATATTCTTCTTAGCTGTATAGAAACTGTAAAATAGAAAATGGATTAGATGGACACTCTAGAGTACTCTAACGACATTCCGTTTGTAACCTTCCGTGGTCCCTCTTACTGCTTCTTTTTCTTCCAAATCCTTGAGGCCTTACTGATTTTCTTTCTGCTTGTCGAGTCATGATTTCTTAGTTGGCGTTTCTATTTCTACATTTCCTTCTCATCTTTCATCAAACCCATAAAACCAATTGGGATTGAAAATTGCTACCGTATTTTCCCGCCAACAACTATCTTGTCAGAATTAGGGATATAGTCAAAACAACGGAGACAAAGTTCAACTCAATTTTTTCCCCCAAAACAACAGATATATATTCTTACGTTATATTATTTTTTCCCCAAAATTTTCCATATAAAAGTGGGGGTAGTTGATCGCACTACCCCTCTAAATCCGTTAGTTGTCAGTATCTAAGGTCTCATTTGATTTTCATTTTAGTTTTCAATTTTGAATGCACTTTCAATTTTCTATTTTAAGGATATATTTTAAGATTGTAGAAAATGCATTTGATTTGTCATTGTAAAAAAGGGTATCTCAAAATAGAAAATCGAAAGACACATTTGATTTGAAATATTTAGAAATTGTTTTATGAAATTTCATTCAATGTCTCATTATAAGCGTCACTAATTTCTTTTCCCTTCCATTTTTATAGAAGATTTCCTGTAATCTAACAATTCTTGTTCCATTTCGTCGGCATTACCCTATCAAAACGAATTTCCAACAAGAGAAAATAAAGAAAAATCCAAAGAAACCCAATTTCTGAAAATCATATATTTTCATAACCAATTGGATAAATGAAAATAAAAAACCAGAATCCCAATTCTTGAGAGAGAGAGAGAGAGAGAGCTTATATGCATAAATACATAATTAATTAATTGATACCAAACTAGAAGTAATAGAGAGAGAGCTTATATGCATAAATTCATAATTAATTAATTGATACCAAACTAGAAGTAATAATACTAACGAGAAGAAGTTAGAGCCTAGAGGTGTTGATCGCGAAGTGGTGGATCAAAATGGTTTTGATTTTTTAATGCTCATGATTCAACAACTGTTGAAATTGAAAATTTGAGTTGCAACAGCGCAAGTCAGAGCATATTTTAGGGATGTTCTTCTTTTTGAAGCCACGAATACGACAAGTGAGGTAAATAGCATTATTCATTAATTATTAAATTCTCTAAAGGAATCGTAATAGGCCGACACTTATAGGCAACACTTAGTTAGTTGGGGTATTTACAAAAATACCCTTAAAATTAGTCATGTTTTAAAAAATCATATGAAAAATTTTTAGAAAGTAAAAAATACCATGTAAAATGAAAAAGTGACAAAATGTCATTTTTTTATAAAAATGTCACTTTTTTACCTTTTTTAAAAAAGTGATACATATTCAAAAAAAGTGACAAATATCAAAATAGCATCATCCATCTGTGCAACACCAATAATCATGTTTTTAAAATAATCAGCACGTTCAGGCCAATCCACATGCTGATTACGTAAAAAAAAAAGTGAAAATGAAAATGTGATACACTTTCACTTTTAAAGTTAAGTGTCATTTTTTGTTAAGAAATGACATACAGTGCCACTTTTATTAAAAAATTGATGTTTATCCCTAAAAAAGTGATAAAAATTAAGAAGGTGACTGAAAAAAGTGATAAACATTAAAAAAAGTGACAAATTTTAAAACAGTGACAATTCAAAAAAGTGGCACAAATTAAAAGAAAATATACAAATTAAAAAAGTAACAAACAATAAAAAAAAGTGACAAAACATTCAAAAAGTGACGAAAAAAAGTGACAAACACTCAAAAGTGATGAAATTCAAAAAAAAAAAGTGACAAAAATAAAATTAAAAACATGACAAAAATAATATGATGGTGATTTTCTCGTTGATAAAAATCCACCTATAATCAAATTCGTGCAAGATAAGAACTCATCCTTATATAAAGTAATTTTGTTCTTGGTAGAACTAAAAAAACCAGCACAAATATCAAACCATGATACTTGATTTTCCCACTTTGTTCTTGTGCAATTACCAACAATACATTTTTTTTAAATAAAAAGTGACAAAAATCCACCAATAATCAAATTCGTGCAAGATAAGAACTCATTCTTATATAAAGCAATTTTGTTCTTAGTAGAACTATAAAAACCAGCACAAATGTCAAACCATGATACATGATTTTCCCACTTTATTCTTGTACAATTACCAACAATACATGCAAAAAAGTCCCCAACAAGCAAAATGTCAATGCCATCAGTAGCTTACACAGATTGAAGGGTGTTAAACCAAATGACTCCAACTGATTAAATAAATTCAAAGCTTTATTAAGGCCCTGTGGTGATGT